ATAACATAACAATAACAATAACAATAACAATAGCAATAACAATAACAATAACAATAACAATAACAATAACAATAACAATAACAATAACAATAACAATAACAATAACAATAACAATAACAATAACAATAACAATAACAATAACAATAACAATAACAATAACAATAACAATAACAATAACAATAACAATAATAATAATAATAATAATAATAATAATAATAATAATATCTATTAGAATAACAATAAGAATAAAAATTGGATTAGCAATAATAATAATAAGATTAAAAATAACAATAACAAAAAAAATTATAATTAAAATAACAATAACAATAACAATATCCATTAGAATAACAATAAGAATAAATATTACAATAGCAATAACAATAACTAAAAATATAAGAATAACAATTATAATAATAAAATAATAATAATAAAATAATAATAATAATAATAATAATAATAATAATAATAATTATAATAATAATAAAAAATAATTACTATTCTAATAATTATAAAATAGCAATTACCATTACAATAAAATTAGTAATAATTATAACATTAAAATCCAAATAACATTGATTAATTATAAGATAATCCTCTTAAATGTTGTACTTCTTAAGATTCTTCTTGAATGAATTAATATTAGTATAACAACTTTTGTTAATTTTTAAATTCTAATTAATTATATAACTATTAAAACTAAATTTGTTATAAGCATAATTCTTAATCATCTTACCCATTATAATAATAAGGTTTTAATTAACCTAACTAATATAATATTTGCTATAATATATAATTTAATTAAGGATAATAACTATAAGGATAAGAAAATCAAAGCGTACTATATCCTAAAGGATTTTAAAATATATCTACTCCAAAAAGTTAAGACTAAGACTAATACTAAGACTAAGACTAAGACTAAGACTAGGACAAAGACTAAAACTAAAACTTAAACTTAAACTTAAACTAAAACTAAAACTAAAACTAAAACTAAAACTAAAACTAAAACTAAAACTAAAACTAAAACTAAAACTAAAACTAAAACTAAAACTAAAACTAAAACTAAAACTAAAACTAAAACTAAAACTAAAACTAAAACTAAAACTAAAACTAAAACTAAAACTAAAACTAAAACTAAAACTAAAACTAAAACTAAAACTAAAACTAAAACTAAAACTAAAACTAAAACTAAAACTAAAACTAAAACTAAAACTAAAACTAAAACTAAAACTAAAACTAAAACTAAAACTAAAACTAAAACTAAAACTAAAACTAAAACTAAAACTAAAACTAAAACTAAAACTAAAACTAAAACTAAAACTAAAACTTTAACTAACATTAATACTAAAACTAAAACTTTAACTAACATTAATACTAAAACTAAAACTTAAACTAACATTAAAACTAAAACTAAAATTATTTAATTAATTAATAGTAGTAATTTTATGGAAACAACTGTTTTTATGATTAATCTATCAACCAATCTAACTTTCTAAATTTTTAAAATAAATAAAATAAATAAAATATAAACTATTTGCCTTTTATTAGTAATTTATAATTTTATTTTAATTTTTTTGTTTTTATATAGATAGTGATATTGAAGATGTTTGAACATTAATAATAATTGAAAAAATACAGATAATTTTTTTATTAATATTTAAAAATAAGAAAAAAGTATTTAATAATATATTAATTTAATCATAAATTATTATATTTATATAATTTTTTTTTTATGTTTTATATATTTTTATTTTAATTATATAAAATAATTAATTATTTTTAACTTTTTTTTATTTAAAACTTTTTTTTTTATTTTAAATTACATATTATATATTTTAAAAAATAAAATAAAATAAAATTATATTAATAAAATTTCATAATTAAATCAAATTTAAATAAATTTATATCTTAATATTTAAAATAAATATAGATTTAATTTATATTTTTTTATTTATATAAATTAATATAAGGACAATCTTTTTATAAAACAAATATATAATAAAACAAAAAAATTATTAACAATAATAAAAATTATAGTTATAAGATTAGTTATTATTTAATTTTTAAATAATTTTTTTTTTTATATATATTATATTAATTTATAATTGATTTTTTTCTAATTTGTTCAATAATTAAAATTATTTTTATTAATAATATTTTTAATATTTTCCATTCTATTATTCCATATAGTTTTGGCTTTCTATTAATTTTTTACATATCTTTTTTCTTATTTTTCAGCTAATTCTTTTTTAATAATTTTAAAAGCGTTTTAACATTATTTCACATCCTCTATTACCTAAACACATTTTTAAAATTTTTCTTTATTTTTACGTTTAAATTCTCTAAGTAATTACAAATTTTATTTTTCTTTAGAAAAGTCTTTAATATCATTTTTTGTTATATTTAATTAGAAATTATTTTTTGCATTTTTTGTAGTTTCATCTTATTATTAATGCGTTAAAAACTACGTATTTTATTAAAATTCTATGTTATCTAAATTAGTCTAAAAAATAAATGCCTCAAATCTTTTAAGCATATTTTTAAATAATGTTATAAAAGAACTATCTTCTTTAAAAATAATTAATCTTTCCAAAATTTTATTTATATCTTAATTATAACTAGCATATTTCATAATTTATTAAATTTCCCATTCAGATATATCATTTGATTTAAATTCTTCAAAAAGAGAAAGACCATTACCTTTTACTTATTAAATTTATGTTGAAAATTTCATTTTCTATATTTAAATATAGATATTATTTAATTATGTGATTTTTTTTTTTAAAAAAATTACTTTATCATTATCAGGTTTAAGTTTAATATAATGTTTTTTTTAAAAGAAATACTTAATTTCAGATAAAACATCTGGTCGAATAAGACATTTAGTTTAAAAATTTTCTTCTAATTAAAGTAATAATTATATAATTTATTCTTTTCTTTAAAAGTCTATAATAAATTAAAAATATATAAATTAAATATGTATATTATATATATATATATATATTTATATATTATTATATATTTTTTTATAAATTATTTTATTCTTATATATTAAATATATATAATATTAAATTAAATTTTTATAAATTAATTTTTATATATATTTATATTTAGAAATTTTTTTATTTACATGAAAACATATTGTATTATGTTTCATTATCTATTTTAATTCTTGATTATATTATTTATTCTATATTTTATTCTATTTATGTTTTTATTTATCTTAATGTAATTCCTTAATTCATTAAATTTTATATTCTTTTTATTTCATTATTATTTCTTAATTCTTCTAATTCTTTTTAAAATTTTTATTCTTCTTCTTCCTCTTCTTTTTATTTTCTTTTTTTTTCTTATTCTCTTTTTCTTTTTGCTTTTCTATACATTTTTTTTTTCCCCTCTGACATTTTATCTATTTCACTACTCCTTTATATTTTTTTAAAAATTTAATATACCAATTAATTAGATAATTTAAATATAAACCTTATTGAAAAATCATCTTTTAATAATTCCGAAGGAATATTAGCAGAATCAAAAGAATTATCACTATCTGTAACCTCATTTTCTTTCAAATCATTGGATTTTTTTATTTTCTTATTTTTTTTTCCTATTTAATTTTTACCATTAATATTAATATTATTGTTATTGTTATTGTTATTATTATTATTTTATAAATTATTTGTTATATTTTATTATGAACTTTATCCTTTATTATTATTCAAATTTAATTAATTAATATCTTTATCATCAATGAACCAATTACTTTTTATATCTTTTTTTGTATTTTTATTAGAAATATTACTATTATTTTCGATAATATTATTATTTAAAAGATTATCATTTACATTATTATAATTTTATATATTTTATTTAAAGAGATTCTAATTATCTAATTATTATTATTATATATATTATTATTTTTTTTAATTTTAGTTTAATTTATCGTAATCAATTATTTCTTACTCAACTTCAATCCATTCACCATTTTCCAATTAAACTTTATTAATCATTTTTATTTTAGGATATAAGCTAACATGTTAAATACCATTTTGTTCTAGAATCTGTCTTTTTTTCTCTTTTTTTTTTCTAAAATCATAAGATTATTACTTTTAGGACTTAAAGGATTTTAAGGATCTTCATCTGAAATTTAAACAGATAAATCATCTGTTTTTATAGAATTTTAACTTGTTTAAATAAGAACTTTTTCATATACTATAGTTCCATCTGCAAGTTTTTATTTAATTACTTTATATTGCTTTTATTATAATTATTATAATTATTATTATTTTTATTATTATTATTATTATTATTATTATTATTATTATTATTATAAATTATTTTTAGGGTTTCTCTTTTTAAAAATCTCCATTTTATTTTTTATATACTTGTCCAAGAAACTATACTTATTAATCTTCAAAAACATCTATAATAGTTCCATCTTCAAGAATTTTTTTATATACTTTTTAAATTTTTCCATCTTTAGATATAACATAATTTTAAGGTAAATTATTTTTTTGATTTTTATCTTATATTATATTTCCTTGTACATCTTTTTTTAAAGTTATTATTTTATTTTTTTTCCTTTTAGGAATCTTATTACCATTTTAATCATATTCAGTTTCTTATTCAGAATCAGTTACTTCAATTTCTATTTATTCATATTTATATGAATCCTCTTCCTCCATAATATCTAATTAAGACATTCCTTTTTTATAAATTATTTGTTCACCAAATTCGTTTAAATATATTATTTTTCCATCATTATTTATTATTTTTTTAATATTCATATGTTCATGAAACGAAAGTGAGAAACGTCTATTTAATATATTATTTGAGTTATCTTTTTCTTTTTTGATTTATTCTATATCTTAATTAGAATTGGTTTTACTTTTTTATATATATTTTTTTTTTATATAAAAGTATTTATATTTTTATTAAGTACATTAGTTTCATTGAATTATTTTTGAAGTCATTTTTTTTTATTAGTTTACCTGAATTTATTAAATCTTGAATTCGTTATAATTCTTTATCTTCTTCATCTTCATTTTATTAACTAAATAAGTTTATTTTATAACCTCTTGCCTTTTTTAAAATTTAATTTATTTTTTAATTATTACAAAACAAAACTAATTACTTTAATTTCATCTTAATTTTATTTTTATTTTATTTTAAATTATTATTAAGATTAATTAACTTCCTATTTAGAAAATTTAGAATTTAAAATATTTGTAGCATTTTCTTTTCCTTAATTTCGAAATTTCTTTTTTAATATATTAAATAATATTAATGAAAAATAAATTTTAATAAATTTACTTATTAATGCTAATTTTAACCTCCAACAGTATAAGAATATTCTCTTTAGGATTTACTAGGAGAATCTTATCCACTTTTTCCCCCATAAATAGTATCTTGATAAGCTTAATTAAAATACTTATTTTAGAATTTCTATATTTGATATTTATTAGTTGAAGTATTATAACCTTTTTTTCCAATTTTAGAATCTTATTATATTTATAAATTTTTAAGTTTATTTATTGATTCTTTAGAAAAAGGCGTGAAATTCCTCGGCGAATCAAAATTTGACTTAGATGAATAATAAGACGATTATTTTATTAAAGAAATATTTTTAATGAGTTTATTTATTGCCTTGTTACTTTTTTTTTCCTAAAAGCTTTCACTAGGAATATTATTTATTGCATTTACTGGTGATTTATCTTCCTCTTAAATTTGTTCAATCTCTTTATTTTTATGCTTTTTATTATTAAATGAAATATTTAGAATCTTTTCATCTTTTTTCACTTCCATATAAACTTTCATAATACATTCTTTTATTTTCTCCATACATTAAATTTTTAGTGAATTTTTAGAGCTTAAATTATCATCTTTAGTATATGAATTCAATAAAATATCGATTTATTGATTCTCCATTTTCATTTAAATAAAATTAGCGACAATTTCATCTAAATCCATTCTTTAATTTTCAAATAACATCGAATTTTGGAAAAAATGGTTATTATCATTTTCATTGTAAATTTAATTAAAAGTAGAATTCTTACTAGAAGGAAAATTTGGCATACTCCTTTGAAATTCAGAACTATATGTATATTTTAGATTTCGATAATATCCAGTTTACTATTCGTATTCGAAATGGAGTCTTTTAGATGCTTTTTCATTTATTATTTTATCCCTTTGTTATATTTTTTATTACTTTTTATGTTATTATAATTGAAGTTCAGCACGAAGTTTATCTAGTTTTTCCTAATTTTCCTCTTATTGGATTTAGCTTATTATATATTGGTTATTCTATTCAATTTTTTCTAACATTTTATTACTAAACTCATG